AAAAGTACCGGAACGGCAAGATAATTCGGCGGGGGAGCATTTTAGAGAAAAATGTTTCAGACAAAAGTTGTAAGGCTTAAAAAAACGATAATAGTTATTTGACATAGGATAGCGTCGCCAAAGTCAGAACAAGGTCAACTTTGCTTTTTTAAATAGAAACACATATTTTTTATTATGGCATTTTATTCAACGTAAAAACGCAAACAACTTTTGCTTGAAAAAATTTTTTATACGACCTCTATTTTCTAAGATATTTACGTAAATATCTACAAGATTATTGGTTTCAATAATTTTTTACTTGAATTCTATCAACTTTACCAAAAAATATCAAGAAATAAAAATTGTTTATTTTGTTTTCATAGAGCTCTGTGAATTTTTTCAGAATTTTGTGTTAACTTTTTAGTACTTCAAGAAAATGTAAGAAAATAAAGTACTAAAAAATTAATATAAAATTCTGAAAAAATTCTCAGAGCTCTATGAGAACAAAATATACAATTTTTATATCTTCATATTTTTCGCTAAAGTTGATAGAATTCAAGTAAAAAATTATTGAAACCAATAATCTTATAGATATTTACGTAAATATCTTAGAAAATAGAGGTCGTATAAAAAATTTTTTCAAGCAAATGTTATTTGCGTTTTTACGTTAAATAAAATGCCGTAATAAAAAATATGTTTCTATTTAAAAAAGCAAAGTTGACCTTGTTCTGACCTTGGCGATGCCATCCTATGTCAAATAACTACTATCGTTGAATGCGTTTTTTTAAGCCTTACAACTTTTGTCTGAAACATTTTTCTCTAAAATGCTCCCCCGCCGAGTTATCTTGCCGTTCCGGTACTTTTGCTATACCCTGTATATATAATGAATCTATTTGAGTCATCGGTTTAATGGGGTTTGGGATTTTAATAAAAAAAATATATATATAAAAATTGGGACTCAAGGATCGGTCTAAGTATGGAATGTTGATTTTCCGCGTACGATAATCGAAGAAAAAATTTCGATACGTGCGTTTAACATACTGGACAATTTTATCCTCCCACAATCATATTAATATTAAAAAGTAATATTAGTATTTAATAACACTAAAACATCCGTGCTTGCTC